CCAGTCCGGCCCCCAGAGGGATCCCGCCTCCGCCGTCGCCTGCCACCAGTCCGGCCCACAGAGGGGCTCCCGCCTCCACCGTCGCCGGCCTCCAGCTCGCCGCCCGACCGGCCTCCGGGCGTCCTCCTGAGCAGCTCCGCCTGCCCGACCGGCCTCCGGGGAGTCGTCCTGAGCAGCTCCGCCTGCACGACCGGCCTCCGCGCCGTCCTCCTGAGCAGCCCCGCCTGCCTGACCGGCCTCCAGGCCATCCTTAGAGCCGTCTCTTGTAGCGCCAGCCTTCAGACGTTTTTAGTTTGTCAGTCCGTCTGGTCCGTCATGTTGCCTCGCGCATGAGGCGGGTCGACGCCGCCACAGAGCCTGTCCGTGTCTCCGAGCGGGTCGACGCCGTCTCCACCGGCTCGAGAAGCTGGGACCTGCCTGACCCAAATCAAGATCCTCCTGGCCAGCAGACTGCCCCAGCTTCTCATGCCTCTGAGCCCCAGCCTACATTGGCATCCCCTGCTCCGCCGTCGCCGGCTCCCGGCCTCCAGTCCGGCCTCCAGTCCGGCGAGGGATCCCGCCTCCGCCGTCGCCGGCCACCAGTCCGGCCCCCAGAGGGATCCCGCCGTCGCGGGGCCTCCAGTCCGGCCCCCAGAGGGATCCCGCCTCCGCCGTCACCGGGCCCCCAGTCCGGCCCTCAGAGGGATCCCGCCTCCGCCGTCGACGGCCCCCAATCCGGCCCCCAGAGGGATCCCGCCTCCGCCGTCGCGGGCCTCCAGCTCGGCCGCCCGAGGGTCTCCGTCTTGTCCGTCGCCGGCCTCCTGCTCAGCCGCCCGACCGGCCTCCGCGCCGTCCTCCTGAGCAGCTTCGCCTGCCCGACCGGCCTCCGCGCCGTCCTCCTGAGCAGCTTCGCCTGCCCGACCGGCCTCCGCGCCGTCCTCCTGAACACCGGCCTCCGGGCCGTCCTCCCGAGCAGCTCCGCCTGCCCAACCGGCCTCCGCGCCGTCCTCCTGAACACCGGCCTCCGGGCCGTCCTCCCGAGCAGCTTCGCCTGCCCGACCGGCCTCCGGGCCGTCCTCCTGAGCACCGGCCTCCGGGCCGTCCTCCTGAGCAGC